CCCCAAAACCCCAAAACCCCAAAACCCCGACTTCAATAAATATTATTGAAATGTAATCGCGATATAATGAACTTATCCTAAAAACTCCTTATCCTTCTTATGTCTCTTCAGGTCATATTTCAACTCTTCTGAATTCAAAAACTCCATCGGCATGAAATACTTATGCTCTCTAATCTTCATGATTTTATCTATACCAATTATAATTAGAACAAGAAAGTATAATTCTAGAAGATATCTGAAAATTTCGAATGTACGAAATTAGTCAACCTAAAAAGAACATAGGTGTTACTATGGTCAAAACCTAATGAATAATATACCTTCTTTTCTTTCGAAGTAGCCGATGACTATGTTTTGGTGAAGCTCATCCAACAATTCATCAAATTCTTCATAAATTTTATTGACAGGGTGAACAATGGACTTGTGCCTGATTTTAAAATCTGCCAATGAGGTCTGAAATTCTCTGTAATCTTTAATAGTTAAGGGCTTCTTTTCAGATTGAAGTTCTTCATTCGTATCTTTCTCTTTAGTGTCTTTATTCTTCAGAATCACATCCAATTCTGCCAAAATGAATTTTCTCTTTTCAGCTTTTAGTTTTGATAATCCAAGATATTCTTCTAACTTTTTCTTTCTCTCAAAGTACTCTGTATTGGATTTGATTCTTTTGATCATATCCTCTTCCTTTTCTGAATAATTGTATCTCTTTAAATCTTCTGCAAATTCGAGCAATCTACAGAACAACAGAAGTGTATCTGGAATATTAGCCAAATTACTAATAGACTGCCACATTTTGTAATCCTTGAGTTTAGAATCATAGTCTTGGTTATGAAAGTCTATTCCTCTCTCAATAAGGATACTGTCAAATGCCTTTTCATCCAAGCTCTCAACTTGTTCCCAGAACAAGTAGGAGTCTTCTCTTCTGATTTTGTTGAAGAAAAGTCTAAGTTCTCTCCTCAAGATGATCTTTGTGAACCAAGATACGAATTTATTATCAATTTGAATCGAAACTCTGAAGAGGGATAGCAAATTATTGATTGTATTAAGACCAGTGACGGGATTCAGCCCCATGAAATGAGCCATATCTATCAATGTTGTTGTCTTAAAGTGCTTGAAATCACAATATTTGTAGAACAAGTGCTTATAATGAAGTAGCTCAGTGTACATAACTTTATCAGATTCAACTAATTTGACCAACTCATTTACTTCCTCTCTTTCTTCCTTTGTTAGATGTGGATTCTCTAATAACAAGTGTAAGAACTTTGGGAGCTTGTACAGCAACCTTTTGGCTCCTTGATCTCTGTTTTTAATAAGAGTTTCCATCTTCTTCTGTCCTGTAGCTTTAGACTGGAATTGAGAAGGAGTGGCATTTGGGAAGATGATTAGCCAAGCAGGCAACAAAAGTTCAAGTCCAGGAATCAAAATAAATATTGAGAATGGGATGAATTTGATGACATCTTTAGTGACTCTTTGAATTTTATTGGAATATGTGTATGAAGGCTTCTGATATCTTGAGTAGTGAGTCTGCTTTACATCAAGGACTGATGTTTTAATGTCATCTTTCAAATTAACAAATCCATATCCAATTTTCTTAGCTTCATCCCATAAGTGAGCTGACGTTCTCCTAACTCTAACATAATTTCTTCTACCAAAATTTGATCATTTTGCGGTGACCTTCTCCTTATCAAATCTCAGACAATCCTTAATAAACTCAAGGGTGTTAATACGAAGTTTCTTTGACCACATTTTGAATCTTTTGCCTCTTGATGGCTTTGTCTCATTAGCAATTTCAGCTACAGAATCTGATTCTTTATCATCTGTTGAATCCTAATATTAAGTAAAATCATTACCTGATTGGCTCTCTCTTGCTGATTAGTTCTCACTCCTCTTACAGAAACTTTGAATAGATTCAGCTGGCTCTGTGTATATGCGGTACCAAATCCCTAATTATTTAGGTGAGGTTTAGTTCAAATTATTTGGGTTAAAATAAATTTCTTCATGATCTTATTTATACAAAATGATCCAAAGCCTTTTAAATCGATCTATCTCCAATAGAGAATTTGAGAACATATGATCTTACTTTAGAGTTTGTGAAGAGTTGGTTGCTGCGATGAATTTTCATGAAATTTCTCTGAGCTCAATTAGATACTCCGTATGCCCTAAATTGTGGTAAAGTACACATCAAGGATTATAAATGAGATGTGAATCTAAGCTGCTTCAGACCAAGCAGTTCTTACCTTACAATTTTAACAGACTCTCTTATGTTCTTTGATCTACTGAAACATGCTCTGAACATTTTCTTGGGGTTAATAAATTAATATACAACATCTCAATCAGAATTCATTTAAAGGGGTTTTGGGGTTTTGGGGTTTTGGGGTTTTGGGGTTTTGGGG